TTCACAATTAGGTCAAAAGTGACCAAACTGTACACTTTTACTTTGGGCAATTATTTCACTTCCTTTGCATCTCAATGAAGTTGGAAACAAAAGAGACCGAAAGCAAGAGGCCACATGACACTGGGGTTAATGGTGCGGATTCTTCAGCCGAGGGGCCGGGGTTCCCAGCGCAGGCCGCATCCTTCCTACTGTGCGAGCAGGGAGTGCTTTGAGTGACTCCGGTTCCATGGGAAACCTCAGTTTCCTCATCCGTGGAAAGGGAGGCAAGAACAGAACTCGCCTGAAAATGCCCTTCTAGACGCGAGTGCGGGGATGCGGGCAGAGCGCGCAGAGCCTGGTCCCCGAGGCCGTGATCCCCTAGACCACAGCTGCTCCTGGCAGTAAAAGACCATCTTCCACCAAAACACAAAGTTAACACAGCAAATGTGAGAAAAGCACAAGAGCAACAGCAGGAGTGAGTGGGGCTGTCACCACAGATGGGACAGACCTTCTAAGGCTCCCGGGGACTCTCTGGCGAGGGGTGGGGGCCGCCAGCCGCAGCCCACGAGGCTGATGGCCGCAGGATACCGCAGGACGCGGCAGCTGGCTGCTCGGAAGAGGACTGGGGAGGAAGTCACCACGCGTCCACAAACCTGTCTCCAAAGGAACTGCTGCCACTTCTTTATTTCTTTTAGGATTTTATTTATTTGTCAGAGAGAGAGAGAAAGAGAAAGAGCACAAGCAGGGGAGCGACAGGCAGAGGAAGAAGCGGGCTCCCTGCGGAGCAGAGACCCCCCCCACCCCATGCGGGGCTCGATCCCGGGACCCTGGGACCAGGACCTCAGCCACAGGCAGATGCTTCACCGACTGAGCCCGCAGGCGCCCCCCTGTTGTCACTTCCACCACCTCCAGTCACACAGAGCTCAGTCTGCCTGCAAGGAGGACGAGACCGGGGCCCCGTGCGGGCAGGGAGGGTACCGAATGCTGAGGGGCATCCTTCCAGACTCCCACAGCCACAGCCAGAGGACACGGCGTGACGGGACACTGGGGCGGAGCCACCCGGAGCGAGCACTTGACGGGCACCCGATAGATCCCGTCTGGCTGGGTTTGCCTTAAGGGCAGCCCAGCGGCCGCCCGCCAGTGTGCTCTGCTCGCTCCCCAGGCCCAGGGCGGCCTCCGGGGGCGGCTTCGCACGGCTCTCCCAACCGGGCGCCACAGGAGGGAGGACGGGGCCCTCTGGGTTTGGGAAGGGCCTGACAGGACCGGGACTCGCCCCAGGGAAGCCAGACGCCTCACGGCACGCAGTTGATAGAGAAGGCACACGCGGAGCCCCACGTCCAGGCACCACGGCCCGCGCGGAGCCTCTCGGAGGGCGGCCGCTCCCGCAGAAGCACTCCAGAGGGCAGGAAGCCAGTCACTCCGCCCGAGGCAAGCAGTTTCGCTTCCGAAGAAGCTCACCCACAGGCCTGGAGAGACTGAGACTCTCTCTCTTCCCAGGTGGCCACCCAGTATCTCAACAAACGCATCTTTAGGGTTCAAACAATAAAAAAAGAAAAAGCATGTTTGTATGTCCTTCATCTTTGCGCCTCGGAACAATTTCAGACTTACAAGAAGGTGACAGAGTTCCCAGACACGCCTCCCTCACCTTCCTGTGTAATGCCTCACACCGCCACAGGACGAAAAGCAAAACCAGGGTACTGGGACTGACACAGCGGCGTCGCCTAACTGCAGACCTTTCCGAACGCCGCCCATCTCCCCATTAACATCCTCTGGACGGTCCAGAAGCCACACCGCCGCTCACCGTGCCCTCAACCTCGGATCTGACAGATTCTCGCCTGGTCTTCCATGACCCTCACAGACTTGGGTGACACTGGCTAGTGACGCTATGGAATGTTTCTCAGTTTGGGTCGGACACGTTCCCACAGTCAGACCTGCGCGCTGGACCAGACACGACACACCGCACTCTCTGAGCAGCGTGGGGATGAGGGAAGCGCTCGTCTCTCCAAGCACGGTTTAAACACTGCGCCTTTAATGCCCTGCTGCATCTCCACCAACACAGGCTAAAGTACGGACACTGATGAGCACAAAGTTGTGCTTATTCTGAGTTTTAGGGAGTACCCGTTACACCAGAGCTTCAAAAGAAAATGTGGAACTCGGAAAACCAATCTAAGAATGTAAGTTCCGTGCGAACAGGAATTTAAGTCTTGTTTACGGCTGCGTCCCCAGTGCCCGGAAGCACCCGCAGTCTGAGTGGCGGACGGAGGAGCTCTGAGAAACAAACACTCGCATATTCGTAGAAGGATGGTATCAACTCGGCTAGCGTGGGAAAGCTCAACCAGCCGAAACGTCGCCTCTGCGCTGTTCACGCGCTTGTTTACAAGAGCCGATTTCCAAGCTCCCTCCAACCGCTGCCAGCCACACAGGGGGTAGCGCCTGTCGCGTAACACACACACGGCTCCACAGACACACACACGCGGCTGCTACAACCCAATCTGGGCAGCCACACCCGCGCCGCTCTAGGCGACGCAGCAGGACTGTCGGGTCAAACATACAGCAGACGGGAACGGGTCTACCTTCGCCTCACCTCCCTGAACTCCGCCCCATGACAAATTTCACAGATAAACCGTATAAAGTGATGATGCCACAGGCTCCACCGTCGGCTACCTTGGCAAGCGCCCTGTCCACCAAAGCCACAGGACGTCTGCTCCGCTGTGGATCACTTCTGACAGCCGACAGCACAGCCGGGCTCAGACCACGCTCGGGATGTACAACAGCGGGGCTCCAAGGACATTTAAAGGCATAAACATGATATTTCTTTTTTTTTTTTTTTAAGATTTTATTTATTTGACAGAGATCACAAGTAGGCAGAGAGGTAGGCAGAGAGAGAGGGGGAAGCAGGCTTCCTGCTGAGCAGAGAGCCCGATGGGGGCTCATCCCAGGACCCTGAGATCATGACCCGAGCCAAAGGCAGAGGCTTTAACCCACTGAGCTCACCAGGCGCCTCAACATGATACTTTCTTAAACTAAACATTTCCTCATCTCCTGATTCACAGTGATGCAGTCTTGGGGTCAGTCACTGAGTTAAAGCTGCTCTTAAATGTTATGATATTCTGGGGCACCTGGGTGGTTCAGTGGGTTAAGCCTCTGCCTTCGGCTCAGGTCATGATATCAGGGTCCTGGGATCGAGCCCCACATCGGGCTCTCCATTCGGCAGGGAGCCCGCATCCCCCTCTCTCTCTGCCTGCCTCTCTGCCTACTTGTGATCTCTCTCTCTCTGTTAAATAAATAAAATATTTTTTTAAAAAATGTTATGATGTTCTAAAAAAGTAAAAGCAAATTTTTAATGTTTGAATTAGGCCTTTTATACCTTACTGCAAGTGCCTGTGTTCTTAAGTGGTTTTCCTTGTTCTCCATTCTTACTCATTTTGATTGCACTCAATATTTCACAATTACACAAGAAACTCTGATATCACCTTCGCTGCTGAATTACCTACGGCAGAATCCGCCCGACAGTCCGACGATGCGGTCCCAAGAAAGACCCCCGTACAGCTCAGCTCTCTGCTTTCTCAGACGCTCAGAGCCATTCATAGCATGACCGGCCATGTGCAAGAGTACCAATTCCACGGGCCTCAGACCACTGGGACTGTCAACTTGTGATAACGTTTTAACAGACAGCCGAAGATGATGATGCGTTCTGAACTTTTTTCTTGGCAGACTATTTCCCGTGTCTCATCATCTTTTTTAGTCTTTGTAAACTATCTGGTCAGCTACTGAAATTGAGACCCTCTCATGCCCCTTGTGAATGGGCTTTCAAAGGCCCCCCGTTCTGCCGTACGGGGGTTGAAGATAAATGGCCCCCGAGGAAAGCTGTGCTCGGAGACTTCTGTCGCACATCAGCGCGCTGTTTCCCAAGCAGACGCGCTGTTGCACAAGCGTATCCACACGTAGATGATTGTGCTTGCAACTCCGAACTACACGTCACAGGTTAAACCCTAGAAACGATCCTCAAGAGACGGGGTTCACTCACGGAGGAAAAGCATCCGCCATCTGCCCCCTCAAGCCCCTGCGGTGAACACCGACCCGGGCTGCGCAGCACCGCTCGGCCGTCAGCCCACGCGGGGCGTCTGCGCTGGTGACGCGAAGCCGCTGCACCGGCGTTGGCAGAGCCCTGGCCGGATACGACCCATGCAACCCGCTTCTCCACGGGCAGGACACGGCTGTAATCGTTTCAGTGCTCCCAGCACCGCACACGGAAAACAACACCCTCTGAACTGGCAAACCTTTTGCAGAAAGATGTAATTCTGCAGCATTTTCACAGATAATAAATAAAATCTGCAAATAACTCATTACCCCACTGCCTGGGAGTTGCCTTACCATGTGTTATAATTCTCGTGACTATTCATAAAAGAATTAAATTTAAAATTCGGTTTTAAAAAAGCAGGTTAAGTACTAAATGAAAATGCAATTCTGAAGCAAGCTTTTGAAAGTGATTCTTTTAAAGTCTACTTACCACCCTATTTACCCAAATTCTACACAACACAATAGGGCACAAAACAATTAAGTCATACATCAAACAGCTCGATGCCGCTGTTCCAGTTCTGAAGTCTGGTGGTCGCCCTTCACCGCTGGAGGACGACGACTCCGTCCTTGGGAGGAACCCTGCTTCCGCGTTCAGTCCCCACACGGCAGGAGGAGCCCTTGGCAACCAGGACGGAATCTTGAGCAACTGAACACCCAAATGTGTTCTAGGAGTAGAAGCAAATGCTTCCTTCCACACATGCTCCCATATTTATAACACTATAGGAAAAGAGTTTCTGGACATTTATCTTGTACGGACACAAGAATATTGCCGGTATCCACGGATGTGGGACTTACAGTCAGGGATCACACAGACGTGCTGTGTTCGACCCGCTGACTTCACTCATTACTCAACCGGCTCATGGTCACCACCAATTGGTAAGAAAGTTTCCCACTTCCACTGAAGCACTAACACGTCCCCCACAGGCAGGTCAGAGGCTCACCTGATAGGTCCAGCTCCTCGGTGGAAGACAAAGTAGCCAGACTCCAGCTGTCGCTGCGGGCCGCCAGCACAAACTTGTGGGCACAGATGTGCCTGTCCCCAACCTTTATCTTCAGATCACTGGGGAAGAAAAATACCCACAGACATAAAGAGAAACGTCACCATGATTAAGTACAGCGAGGACTCAGAAATGACAGAAACACGCACGGACTGATCCCCATATACCTGGAGAAGAAGAAACCCTGCGCCAGCACTGAATTCTAATGGGCCGTGCATGTGACACACATCGCCCCACACGCCTGTACTGCCAGCTTCCAGCTGTGGTGCACATGGGACATTCTGCTTTTCCCTATGGGACTCTGAAGGTGGCAAACCTACTGGTTAGACAGGATGATTAATATTCACATAAAATGTAGAAGAGGTTTCGTGCAGACTAAACGAAGGTGAATCATCAGGGAGAGAAGGAAAACGTGGAGACCGTGACACAGGCTCTGGGACCACAGAGCTGCACACTGGACCCACTGACGGTCAAGCAAGGGGACGCAGAACACTACAAACTGGCTGTGACCAAGCAGTCCGGAACGTGAAACCAACATCTACACTCCTGTTCTTGACAGAAACATTCCGACCTATTACGGGACGCGTTCTGCTCAACCATTTAGAAAGAAATGGGGTGGGAGAAATATTTTTTTCAAACACATTTCCGTATTTATGACAAACCATTATTGTAAAAAGAGCTTTTCAAATATTTATATTTGACTCTGAAATGTCAAATGCTGAGGGAGGAAAGCGTCTGGGCATTTAACAAAAACCTCCGGATGACCCACTGGGCCGACACAGCCATGTGCCACATGGCTTTGCTGGCAGCACTAATCCGGAGTCATTAATTATCACCATCCTGTGTACGTACAAGTTCTTCTATTTTCATACGCCCCTTCAAAACGTGTTGGCTTGGAAACCTTCACAAACTAAAGACAAAAGTCACTACAATAAAAGAAAAAAAATCTATGCCATGAATTAACGCATCCACTTAAGAGGAGCCCCAAGCAGGATACGGTTCCTGCGTTAGTGAGGACACAGATGCGGTGTATCCACAAACGCACCATCTAGGCTGCAGGCCTGTGAGCGCTTCTGGCTCCTCTGAAGACCGAGCAGCCGCTAATCATGTTAGATCAGAAGAGCAAAGGATACTCTGTATTTCCAATTACTACAAACTACTCAAAACTGCAGAACGTTATTAATCAATCAGTAAAAAGGAAAAAATATTTTACTTAAAATACAACAAATCATATCCTTTGTTAAATTTCTAAAACTCAGTGAAAACAGGAAGCTGCTCATAAAACACAAATGATTTTTAAACTCTGAATTTATGTATCAAGTATTAAATTGTAGTAACTCACATGAAGACTTGTTTCCTGTTTCAACCACTGACTTCTAATCACAAAATCATAAAAAGGAATGTTTCTACATATTTATGAATGTCAGGCCAAACGGGAAATGGAAATACAGACAAGGACCTCATTAATAATTTCTAATTAATAACAATTTCTACAAATACAATTCAAAAATGGAAGGCTGGATACGTTTCTGAGAACTCTACGCAAAAACAATTAGGAGGGTAGTAATGTTTTTAAATTTTCATTCTAGGGGCGCCTGGGTGGCTCAGTGGGTTAAAGCCTCTGCCTTCGGCTCAGGTCATGGTCTCAGGGTCCTGGGATCGAGCCCCACATCAGGCTCTCTGCTCAGCGGGGACCTGCTCCCTCCTCTCTCTGCCTGCCTCTCTGCCTACTTGTGATCTCTGTCAAATAAATAAATAAAATCTTTAATAAGTAAATTAATTAATTAATTAATTAATTAATTTTCATTCGAGGGGCACCTGAGTGGCTCAGTTGGTGAAGCGTCTACCCTGGGCTCAGGTCATGATCTCAGGGTCTCGGCATCGAGCCCCACATCGGGCCCTCTGCTCAGTGGGGAGCCTGCTTCCCCCTCTCCTTCTGCCCCTCCTTCTGCTTGTGCTCTCTCTCTCTCAAATAAATAATAAAAATCTTTAAAATTTTCATTCCAGTCAAAGAGCTTTTCCCTGTAAAATATGCATACTAGGATTTGTTACTAGAGAGAAAGCATAAATAAGAGCATCCTGCTAGATTCTCAAACACCAAGAGAACCCCGTAAGCTTGATCGCTAGAAGAATGACGTATTACCATCGCTTTGAACTATTTTAAGAGACAAAAGCCTTCTCCTGAACTTAAGTAAAATTAACGTGACCAATTTCTTCCACATTTCTCAATTTAAAAACACTTTTACACCCACTCTTCAATTACTCTAGTTACTGAGATGTACATACAAATACTATTTAAATCCTTCAACAGAACGCATATTATGGACAAAGCTTCGTGGTGGGCTTCTCCTTGTTTTGGAAAAGGACCACCTGCTTTAGAAAGTGATCTTCCAACATCAGGTCCTCCGTGTCCGAAGCTCACGTCCTCCCGGAACGCCCTGTGCCCACTGATCTCCAGGCTGCACTGGGTGAGGGACAGGCTTCGGACGCGCAGGGGAGGCCCACTGCAGCCATAGCACCCGCGCTGCACGCCCAGCTCCCTGCCACGGCCTCCCGAGTGGCTGCGGTAGAATGGACGCGTGTGACGGAGAAGTGACAGAGAACGTGAACGAATGACGGGAGCTCTCAGGACACGAGCCTAGAAGCAGAGAAGAAGTGTTCACAACAGAAACAGGTCAGGCTCCCTGCACCAGGGGAACCAGCTTCCACCGGTCCACGGAAAAAAGAGGGGAAGATAAGAGGCGATGACCTACACTTCACAATTTAAAAGGCTGCCCTTTACTCAGAGTATGTACTTCCTCTGTTTGGGGTATTAAGTTTTTCTTTCTTTTATAAATAATTAAGTTGAAAGACAGCAGTTCTAGATTTTGATCTATTTTTCTTTTTTTTAAATGAGAGAGCACGCATGTGTGTGCAAGAGAGTGAGAGCGCTTGAGCAGGGGGTAGGGGCAGAGGGAGAACAGACTCCTGCCGAGCAGGGAGCCTGACGCGGGGCTCAGTTCCAGAACCCTGGGATCACGACCCGAGCAGAAGGCAGACGCTTCATCAACTGAGCCACCCATGCGCCCCTAGATTTTGATCTATTTTCAATGTCATCATTTATTTTGGGATTGTATTAAGGCTTAGCTAGCCTAACTGCCCGTCTCCTCCTCAGCCAAACTCCCTTGCATGCACGTCCATACCCGTGTCTCTTCTCCATACCCACTGCCACCGTCCCAACTCAGCCCTTCTTCCTCTCTGGTCTGGATGACGCACAATAGCCTGGTCACTGCAGGGCTCCCTTCTCTGCACGGTGCTGCCTACACAATGCCAGCAGGTTCCCCTTCCTGAAACACCACTTTGACAGTAACAGTCCAATAGCTCGAAACACTATCCCATACTGCCTAGAGGATCAAGTCCAAATGTCCCCCCTTGGCCGCCCAATTCAAATCCCCCTACCTTTCCCACCTCTCCCAGCGCCCCCTCCAGGGACACGTACCCCAAGACAGTCCCTCCCGTGCCTGCGTGCTCTGCAGGCTCCCACACCTCAGCCTGCTCTCAGCCTCCCCACTCTTAACATGGCTGTCTTCATCTCCCGAACCCTGCCCGGCCTCGAACATTCACCTCGAAACTCAGTAACAACAGCTACTACGTGCCAGACATTGATCGAAGTACTTCAAACACGGACTTATTAATTTAGTCCTCATAGGAACACAGCGGTAACCCACGGAATCCCCACCTCATGGGTGAGGAGCTGAAGTGCGTCTTACAGCTTCAGACCACGCAGCCAGCAGGTGCCCGCTGAGCCGCTAACACAGGCTGTGTGGCTCCAGACGCCGTCCTCGACCATGCTAGCCTGCCTGCTTGCACCAAGATCCCTTCCTGGGTCATCCCAAGAGGAAGGGACCCTTCCTTCTGAATCCCCGGACATGTGAGCCACTTCCTGTCTACCCCGTCGATGCGATCACCGTGACTCCCTACGCTCTGTGCTAAAAATAAGCAGGAAATAAAAGAAACAAAATCTCGCCCCGAAAGAGCCTACACTCCAGGGACTACAGGGCTGCCGGCATCCTGCTTAGAGAGGAAGAGCCCGGGGAGAGAGAGAGAGAGCGGTTGCGGGGCGGCCGGTGGCGCGGCTCACCTGTACTGCTCCTGCTCGTAGAGGCCAGCCACGATCGCCAGCAGGCGGCTGATGAAGGACTCACTGCTGCTCTCCTTGTCCGCTTGTGCAGCCAGAAGCGCGCATCTCTTCTCCGTCTCCGCCAGCGTCTTCTGCAGCTTCACGTACTCCTGTCGGAGAAGCATCAAGTGCTTCTCCAGCTTGGCCACCTCCTCTGCGAGAGAGACAAAGCCGCAGCTTTACTATGGCAGGTGTGGCACGGACAGCAACCCACAGACAGGACCACCACGAAAGGACGGTTTCTTGGTGACACTCTTTTCTTAGTGATATTCCCGGCAATACCCGTAATGGCTCTGTTAACGGCTGCCACAGCGTCACTGGGCCAGAAAGACCCTCGTGGTCCAGGAGTTTCTCTAAAGATCGATACTCAAGAAATGACAAGGGACAGACACACGGAAGATGTTCCAGGCTCCTGCCCTGCAAATCCTTCATCATCAAGCCACGAGTCTCAAGGAAAGATTACCAAAATCACCCGGGACTGTTTTCCCAAACCACTGGGAGTGAAAACTGATTGCTCCATGTCCTGCGCAATCTCTCTCAGGCAGCTTCAGAAACACCCCGTGAGGTCGGCACAATCACTAGCCGCACAGCCCGGGTGAGGATGCCGGGCAAAGAGAAACTAAGACTTAGCGGGCAGGCCTGCAGCTGGCGGGCGGGGGCACTGGGAAGTGCCCCCGCACGCTCACACCTGTGGTCTGTCACCCACCATCCCACGCCACCTGACGTCCCCCCTTCAGGAAAGAAGCAGCCAATGATGGTTCCAATGAAAGCGCATCTCGTCCACAGGCATGCTGGGCCGGATTAAAAAGGCTGGTTCTGAAATTCAACAAACATTTGCCGAGCGTCTACTAGGTCCCAGACACTGCACAATGGTAAGCAAGTTCAGATGTCTCTCTCCTCGGAGCTTCCAGTTTGCTGGGGAAAGCAAACTTTTAGGGTTACAGTAACAATGCTAACCATCAAACACAGAACTACAGCTCTAGGCGCACGAGAAGGAAGGAGCAGACGTGTGAGAATCCACAGTAAGTGTAACTTAGGATGCCGGGGAAGACGTCCCTGGGGAAGGTCACGGTCACGAAACCTCCCTTCTCCGATCCCTGTGCTCCAGAGCCTTGCTGGGGCTCACGGCACGGCGCTCACCAGTGCTCACACAGATCACGGCCAGAGACCCGGATCTCTGACCACGTGCTGCTCCTGCCCCTGGGCCTTGGCCCCTTTCCCCCTTCCCACCCCTTCAGACACGGCAAATCCTGACACTGCCCTCAGCCCACGTCCCACGCAACCTGCTTCATTCTCCGTATCTTGAGAAAACCGAGCTGCTGTCAACAATTCTGGCCGCACCAGCCACCCGGTGCTTCCTCAGGGCAAGGACCTCCCTCCTACGCAAGCGCGCAACCCCTCCATCTAGCCTCCGAACCCAACACCCTGCTCGGGCCCTTTGCTTTGGCATCAGCCTCCCTTCTCAGCAACTTCTATCTCTTCCAACTGGGTCCTTCTCCTCAGCACATACACCTGCTCAAGACCCTAGTAAAGCAAAACCTCCTTCCACAGCTCACCTGACCCTCTGTGCCCTTGCACATCTAGCTACCGTACACCCCTTCCTCGCCCCACTCTCCCGTCACTCCCTCCTGTGTCCCCACCATCCCCTTGAAACGCCTCTCCACAATGACCTAACTGCTAGCCCAACAGACACTGGACGGTTCTCCTCCTGGACCTACTACACTGCATGTGAAGATTTTTTTTTCCAGCAGTCATGATGCCACCCTCTTTCCAATTCTGGTTCTCCGTCTTTCCTACGCTTCCCTGTGTGCCTCCCACCGCGGACCACGGATGCTCCCCAGAGTTCTATCCTGGACTCATCACAGCTATCTGTCCTCCCAAGGCAGCTCCACTGGTCAGACTCTGCGGCTGGGCCACAACCTCAGTGCCGACGACCAGGGACGCATCTCTGTGGTCCAGATTTCTGTGCTTAGCTTCATCTCACCACACCACTCTCTTGTGGACCATGGGCACCTCAAGCTCCCTGTGCCCAGGACAAAACTCTTGAGCAAATGTGCTCTGCCTCAGTATGGTCCCTAAACTAATAAATGATGCCACCGTCTAGCCCAGTTATGTGTAGAGAAAATGTGGGAGTCATCTTAAATGTCTCTCTCTCACTCACGGGATCCCAACTCTATGAAAGTCAGGGCTTTTTCCCACATAAAAATCTCTGGGAATCCTTCTGTCTTCTGTATCCGCACACCCACAACGACTCAGTTCAGGCCCTCACTCATCGTATGTCCTGTCCATCGTGAAAGAATTCACATCCACATCTCAGAGCCCAGCACAGGGTCAGATACACAAAGGATCACTAAATAGTCGATCAATTCAGCTGAACAAGGACAATCCGATTTTATAAGAGAGGATTCCTGGCCTCTCCCCATCTTCATCCCTCCCCCACCACCTGCTAATTCTTTATAAACATGGAAACAATCAAAAACTGGTTCAAAATACAAGAAAGGTTGAATAAACTAAGTGTGATACTTGGTTGTAAAGTTATTGTGCAACAAACGCTTTCTAAGAAATACGTAATAGTCTGTATGTGTTCAAAGATAAATAATATATTAACAGAAAAAAGCAGGCAGTGAAACTAAATATATTTTGTAATTCGAATTTTATTATAAATATTCACGTATGTGGTAAGTACAAAGACAAATGCCACTATCAGCAGATCTCACGAGGGGGTGTTACTGCACATCTCCACACATCTCAGGGATTCTGTAACAAACGTGCTCTGCTTTCATAAGCAGAAAACAGTATTTTAAGAGAAATCTGTACAAACACAAATACAGATAACAGACTGTTTCTTCACACATCTACTAGGACACATTCTCCCTCTCTTCCAGAGGACCCATGTTACACAAGTACCCAGACAGAAAGATGGCGTGGGTCTCAGGTAAGTCAGCGTTCCTGGAGAAACAAAGCAGGAGGCACCTGCAAGACAAAACAGTGCTTGGAGCTGCCGAACGGACCCCTGACCGCGCGAGCGACACACCACAGGACAAGTCCGAAGAGACGACTTTCTTCCCAAAGTACGGCCATCATTTGGCCTACATGTATTTCAACAAAACACCGCTCTCAAAGCCACCAGCTAAATAAAGAACAATACTGATGATGATCCTTCTACGATATTTAAAAATATCAGCACACAGCATCTACAGGTACACGGAAGCCCTTAGGAAGGGCGCAGTCACGTTCCTACTCTCGCGGGACAGACCGACAGGGTCACTGGGTTTGCAGCGCCCTTCACAGCGGCTCTGACGGGCACGCCAAGGATTTTCATTACTGACCTCAAAGGGAGAAGTCTGTAGCACAAAGCACTGCGTTAATACATTTTGTATAAGGTAGGAGATTTATACTTTTTTTCCTGTACAGAAAGAAACAGGAAGAAAAACTAGGACTGAACTTCCAGAAGTGGTAACAGGAAGTGTGAAAGGACATATGCTCAAGAATCGTATCAAAGTCTGTTCAAACCTGTGACCACTGGAGCCAAATCAATGTACGGCGTCAGCAGTTGTGACAGCAGCCACCAGGGGAGGAACAGCAGGAGGGCAGGACTGGGGAGGCACGTGAGGGCCTCCGGGGTGCCACTAACACGTTTGTTGTCTAACTGAGTAGTCAGTGCACATTCCATTTGGGGAGTACACTGAGTTCTACACGCGCTATGATTTGCTCTTTTCCGCATGTATCTTATGCTCCAATTAAAGAGCTGAAAACTTGGGCCTCTGGGTGACTCAGTCGTTAAGCGTCTGCCTTGGGCTCAGGTCATGATCCCGGGGTCCTGGGATTGAGCCTTGCATGGGGCTCTCTGCTCAGCGGGAAGCCTGCTTCTCCCTCTCCCCTTCCCTGCTTGTGTTCTCTCTCTCTCTCTCTCTAATAAATAAATAAAATTAAAAAAAAAATTTGGAAACAACTGATATACACGAAAACAGCTGATACATTGTGTTTTGGAGCCAAACTGACAGGAGTCCAAATCGTTCCGGTAACTAGCCGTGGGTCTGGAGGCAAGTTCATCTCTCTGAGCTTCAGTTCACATATAAACTGGGGTCGAGGGGCTGCTTCCCGGTGATCCTGCAGGACTGAGTGACAACGGTACCGTGGCTCACGTGTGCCTTCACGATCGCCAGCATTTCCTCTGCGTGCCCGCATTCCACAGCAATATGATTACCGGATACACAGTTGTAACTGTTACAAAGTTTACACAATTTTTTTTGAGTCCTGACAATCAGAATGGGATTCAAATGCTTTATTGACCTCTAAACCAAAACTGATCGATAAAAGTCCTGGCAAATCAAAGGGACGTTATGAGAAGTGAAGAGTGATCAAAGTCCAAGAAGACGAGCAAATACTGAGAAACGCACAACGAGCCGCTTCGAGCACCACATCACCTTGGACCGCAAGTCCGCGCTGACAGTGCCCACGGCAAACCGCAAAGCCTCTTGCACTCGGAAGCGCCAGCATTACTCACTTGGGGAGGTGCGAGGGAGGCTGTGCTTTGAGGAAACCTCTCCGAGGGGGAACCCCTAACGCGCTCAGTAAGAAGTCAGAGTCTGGAAACGGCAGCACGCGCACTGTCACACAGAGGTCACCGGAGAGAGAAGAGCGTGGTGTGGCGAGAGAGACTTGAGTGGTGGGACCATTTATTTTCTGCTGTAAGCCTTGCAATATTTGACTCTGAATTCTATGTGCACTTATAAGCAAACATATGGCTTTATACATGTTTTCAAGATTGGGAAAAACAGAATTAATTTTCTAATACCCAAATATGAGGGTTTCTAGAGATCACAAAACTTCTGACTGAAAGGAACCTAAAGACCATCTTTTTGAGTTCAACTCGCAGATGATGCCCCAGAAGAAGAGAAAGTGGCGGAATCCATGGCCACCGGCCACCAGCCCCTCCTCTCAGGATCTGCTGGAGAACCGCCACTCGGGCTGTCGGAACCGGACGGGGCGCGACCCACACAGCAGACCTGGGGCGGGCTGGGGAAGGCGGACATCTCGCACGGCCGCAGGAATGACGGCCTGGGAGGAAAAGCTCAGCCCCAGCACAGCTCCCCAAGTCACGCGCAGGGCGGCTGCCCCGGGCACACGACTGAGCAGACGGAAGACCTGCTG